CTTTAGCTGCTCGAAAGCTCTCTCTCCTCTTCTGACATAACACATTTCTTTCTCGGCTTTAACAGATCAGTGAGAGCGGCTGCGACTGACGAAAACTTTTTAAAGAATTTTCTGTACCACCCAGCCATTCCAAGAAAACGGAGCAGAGCCTTGAGCGACTGCAGCAAAAGAAAATCTTTCATGGCCGATATTTTCTCTGGGTCCGTACTTATAACGCCCTCTCCAACAATATGTTCCAAGTACTTAACGTTTCGCATGCAGAACCAGCTTTTTCGACAAACCAGCTGTTTTGACATAGCTTGCTTCTAAACTTAGTACTCTCATGTGGGCCTCAAAACTCTCAGATACAATAAGCAGGTCGTCCAATTACATGAAAATATCGTTCCTTAAACTGACTGGAATTACCTTGTTCATTAATCTGGTCATTGTGTGAGAAGCGTGAGACCAAAAAGCATAACCTTATATTGATAAAGGGGCTTCCCCGGAATAGTGAAGGCCGTTTTATCTCGCGATCCCTTATTAAGCTGGATCTGGCAGTATGTATCTTTAAGGTCGAGACTGGATAAAAACATAGCTATGGAAAGCAGTCCCAAAACGCGGATATGCATCCTTTATGGTAACTCCATTAACTTTTTGGCTGTCTTAACAGAGACGAACTTTTCGTGTCTTCTGTACAAAAACACTGGCGATGACTAGGCACTTTCTGACATACAACGGCTGCCGAGGCTGTGTGTTCATCTTGGCGTTTTTTCGTGGTCGTGGTACCTATGCCCCTCTTGACGGCAATTCCAGCAAATTAAAGCCATGGTACTTATTTCCCGTCGAGTTCGACATCTGAAAATTCGGTCGCATCATCCGATTGAGCTTCCTATACTAGTTCTGCAACACTTTTGCGGAACGGAACCGTCTTTTGGTATCCATATTTTCGGTTTACGTCTAACCTTTCTCTACGCCGACAAATTTCAAGCAAGCTATCTACTGTGCTGCGTTACGGGATTGGATACACTAAATTATCCGTAAGCTGAATGATAGATTCCTGAAATTTATCAAAATCTTCATTAGCCTTCTGCTTTCTATCTCTGATCACATCTCTATTATCCATATCATGCGAGTGTCCCGAAATTGCTTCCGTAAAGCGCATCGGACCCCATCCCAGTTGACCATCCCAATTGACAGATTTATGAAAACCTCAGTAGAAATCTCGCGCCTTACCCTCAAATAAGATACTCGCATTGCTGCACAAAGCGTCATAGTTCGAATTCAGTGTCTGCTCTGTGAGCGCATTGTCTACATTCAAGCCCTCTTTGGTACCACCAATTGTTAGTTTACCAACTGTTAGCAATTTGGCAAACTTCATCTGGCCTGTTGGCCAGCTTGTTGACTTCGGTCCTCGGCGTTGCTAGGCCTGAACCGGGTAACATGTTTGTTGGGCTTCCTACCTAAAGGTTTAACGACTCTGATAATTGCCTCGCATTATTTCGTGAGAGACGTTGGGTAGTGGTGGCATAAGAGCCGCTATGCTGGATTGGATCTGCTGGGCCATCGTTTCCGGCAGCTGTGTGAGCAGCTCGTTTTACATAGTTTCTAAAGTTTGTAAAATAATATCCGCTGTAGCTTGCTGAGTTATTATTGACTGCTGAGCTTCTTCTAAGCTCGATAACCCGCTCGAAACCACTCGAAACAGCCATTGTGGAACTTATGACCACATTAAATTGCAGCGTTGGTGCCATTGCCCAGGTCTTTTGGCATAAAATGCTTTTTCATGGTCCGACCCCGTTCTTAAATCTAAACTAAATGCCGCCGAGCCCAACACTTTCAAGCACTCCTAGTTAAATACTGTTATTGTTCTACTGCATTCCGCACTTTCAAACTTAGAGATCAATGACCTCCTCAGCTTGATGCGATGTTCGCTTATCGCGCCTCCCTTTTAGAAGCAGTAGGCGAACAGCGAAAAAGCCAATAAACAATACAAAAATGTTGGTTTATCAGCAGTTCCTATTTTGTTTTGGTTCTTCCATTTTCGCATGCGCTTTACTGTTAATTTGTAGTGAATGCGCTTTTGGGAGCTCTTGTAGAACTGCTGTTCCTCGAAGCTTTTGTTGTTAAGCCGTACTTCCTGCATTCGACGTGATTTTGTTTCTGAGTTCATTTGGTTTTAATTTGAGCTCGGAATAAGATTTGAAAATTGAACTGCCGCGGCTTATTTGTTCTACAGCAATTAAAAACTCTTAGTTGCTCAACATCGCTCTTTGTCATTTTGTATAGATTATTTATTTTTATACCCGTTACGCGTAGAGTAAAAGGGTATATTAGATTCGTTGAATGTAACAGGTAGAAGGAACCGTTTCCGACCCTATAAAGTATATATATTCTTTATCAGAATCAATAGCAAAGTCGATTAAGTCAGCAGCTGGTTCTCCGATTTCCGATGTTTTCAGATTAGGCAAGGTTTGGTGATTTAATTGCATTTAAAACATGCTCAAGAGCGGCAACTTAAGGTTTATGGTCGACGCTGAAAAGTTTAACTCACATTCCATGTGATTGTACCCAATTTAATCTATTGGGTGTAACATTTGGGCGGAAAGTTTCACATTTATATGTGGGGTGATTTTCCCAATTACAGACGATGCATATTTCGAAGGCTTAGGATCTCTTGTATCGTTGTTTTATCTTCACCTTTTTTTTGTGTTTTAAAATTTTATTCTTTGCGGACATTTGTTATTCTGTGGAGCATTTATGTATTTTTTTATAAGGACTCCTATAAGTCACATGCGGTTTTTAAAAAAAAAACAATAAAAAATACGAGGTTTTCCGAGAAGTACTTAGCCTCGCGCCCGATTGCGAAGAGAAAGGTTTTTGGAAGGGAAATCGCGCAGCAAAATCAAAGAGAACTTGGATGCTGTGTACGGTGAATCTTCTCCTTCGATGGCGACCGTCAAAAATTGGTTTAACGAGTTTCAACGTGGTCGCACGTCGGTTTTTGATGAGCCACGCCCAGGTTCCCCGAAAACGGCTATGACAGGGGATAACGTGATAAAAATCTACGATCGGCAGATACGCGAGATAGCTGAGACAGTAACTATCTCAAAAGACCGCGTGGGTCATATCCTGCATGAAATTTTGGGCATGAAAAAGCTGTTGGCGTGATGGGTGCCACGTTTTCTCACTTCGGACAATATACGCAAGCAACAACTTCCGCCCTCGCCACGGTCAAATTGGGTTCAAACAGGTTCTCCATCCACCATCCACTTGAAAAAGTCTCGCTGGACAGAAAATTGTTTCGAATGAGGAGGTCGTCGCCGCAACATAGGCCTATTTTACAGACCTCGAGAAAACGTATTTTTCAGACGGGCTAAAGAAGTTGGAGCTGGGTCAAGTGTATCGGGCTAAAAGGAGATTATGTTGAGAAATAAATTCAATTTTCAGTTGTTTTAGAACTTTTAAAATTAAAAATACAAGCGGCACAGTTTTTGGAGGTCTGCGAGCTTTGAAATAACATCCTTTTAGAAAGTATAATCTAACCTTTTACTTTATAAGAAATTATAAAATATAAATATTATTTATATACATTAATAACTGAATGTAGGCGCCTTAATGCAGGTGGTGTTCTCTTCTGTGGTCCAACACCAAGTTTTCTTTACATATTTTTCTTATTCCATCTTACCCCAGTTTCTACATGTATCATATGCTGATCATGCTTACAGGACACACATAATGTTCGTTAGTATGATCTTTATGCAAAAATAAGGGAGAGTAAAACATTATGCTTACAACTGAGTGTGTATAGACTGGTGTGAATGCTTGTTACACATGCAAGTATGACCGCCTGCAACAGGAATAAACCAAAAAAAAGATAACTAATAATACACAAAATATAACAGTGCGCGGAATCTAACAAGGTTTTTTATCAGGATAGATTTAATTTCTCGAAGTTGTATAGGGGCACAGATGTTAGCTCCAGCGACTCGACTTCAACGTATTTTGGTATTCCTACATTCCAAAATGCATATATTCTGTATATGCCGCCCCATGCGATACTGAAGAGCAGTATTTCTTTGAGATGTAGTAGGTTGAGATTTAGTATGCAGGATCTTGAAGTCCCTACGCAACGCAAGAGTGACAATTTCACGAAAACTTAAATCGCCGAGGATTCAGGAACTATAAGAGTTAGAAAGTTGAATTTAAGCGTACATAAATAATCTTGAGATTCCAGCGTAACGGGTATCTTATAGGCGCAGTACTCGATAATAGCGTTTGTTCTTGTTTTATAATATATTTCTTATATTTATACATTAGTTCAATTTAATTAACGGAAACCTTCAATAATAATAATTTTTACTATTATATAATTTATATTAACACGTGAAGTAAAACACTATTATGTAGCATTTAATAAGTCAATTTAAAACACTAGACTTGTGGACTGCGTTTGATTTCATTGCATCGTAATTTAAAACATGAGCTTAAGTCAGGCAATTTCTTACTGGAAGACCTAAAAAGTTAAGTTTTTTTAAAAAAATTTTATCGTCATATATTTTTTTATGGAGAACGTAATTATTGGCATAACTCAAAAATTTTGCAGATTTGATATAAGGCATTACAAAATTGCCTTTAATTTGCGGTTGCCAAATCAATTTCAAAGCCCGAAACCAGTCCCTAAAAGCATAATTAATTAGTAATCGCTCCCAATATAAACCGATAAAAAAATGTAAATCCCTTAGAATGCTATATCCAAATTAAGACGCTTCGTCAGTGAAGCGGAAGATTCGAATAGTGAGCAGACAGCGCGCCAGTCTAAAACTTCTGTCGCTTCCTAAGAGACTGTGACTTTTAGCTGGGCCAGAGTAGAGAAGATTAATATAAAACAATCAATGAGAATGCGCGAGCACATGCCCTGCGATGGCTTCGCTAGAGATTCGTTTCTTCGCATCTTCCTCGGCTAAGAGAACGATTATGCTGATGTGACGCCGGCTGCGCAGCTTCTCTGAAGCGCAGCGGTTTTGTTTGCTAGGCACATATAAAACAAACGAACTTAAATATTCACAATCATATTCAAGTTGTTCGTTGACGCGCTCGAGTTTAAGTCGGAAAGGTTATAGCAATTTTTCAGAGTAAGAAAAAGACCACGAAACGTCAGGGATCAGTGTAAAATTGGTTGACAGTTTGAAACATTCGTGAATGATTCCGGAATTACTTTCTAAAGTGTCTTGAATGTCCTGCTGACTTTTGGTTAAGTGAAATTTTAAAGGACACATTCCAACATTTTCAGATTACACCAGCAAATAGGTCTGTAGAATTAAATTTATGCAGCCGCAGACACTTCCTGAAACTATTTTTTTTGCTGAAGATAGTTGTATATTTTTTATGGCTTTTCCCGCCGTTTTGAGGTGGACCTACCTTTGCCTACATGTCCATCATTTTATACATCCATTTTTTCTTTGAATCTCGAGTAAATTTGTAGTGTTGTTTTGTAGAATTAATTAAAAATGAATCAAAATAAAAATATGTTATTTTTATGGGAAAATGAAGCATAAACAAACGACAATAGACAGGCGATTTAAATCCTAAAATCTCCTAAAATATCACCAGCCAAATAGATTTTGCAAAGTATAGATTACATATGAACGTTGTAAATGGTATTATCGACAAAAACAGATTAAACTTTTTATGTACAATTTATTATGAAGATGATGAAAATACTTTAATCCGAAAAATGTCAACTATTTTTATAATTCATATTGGTCTGAATATGTTATTTAAAAAAAATTAATAAAAGCCACCGGGGTCTCCGTTAAAGAATTGTTTTCATTTCATCTCCCACAAATACACTGAATGTTCAGTTGCTTAAATTTTAATATATTTTGTGATCAAAAAGTTTTATTTGTCGGAAAAAATGGTTATTTTTACTGCCTTGCTACCTTTGTAATTCCAAAATTCTAATTTAAATTTAACTCTTGTGCAACTCAATTAGCAACCATTTCCATTTAACAACTAAAATCTGGTTCCTAAGGGAATAATAAGATTCCTTGGTTTCCCAGCATACTTTGAAATATTGTAAGCTGGACTGCAGCGTATTTGGATTAGCTTGATTCATACCGGTTATTATAGATAACCTTCAGGCATTGAATTCTTAGTTCAATTCCGACAGTCTCACCTGCACTCTGTTGCCGTACATGCAAGTTCCATTTGATTTGGTAGGGTCCAACGATCGGTCTCATTGTCTTTATATCTAATGGCGAAATCTTTGTCAGAATTTAAAACTCTTACACATCCCGTTGTGAAACTATGATGTCATGTTGGGTTTTAATTTAGCTTGTGACTAAATAATTTTTTTTATGATTTTCCAAAGTTTCCTAAGCCCAGATTTAAAAAGCCGGAAAGCCATGACTATTAAACGGTTTTGGGAGCAGCTTGCTTTATGCGTTGTTTTAGCAGTGCCCGCATTTGTGAGTGCTGACTACCAAGAGAACATGTTTCTAAACGGCCAGTACCAAAACGATATCAAGGATAACAAAAAGACCAACCTTTTAGCGAACATCCCATCAAATGTGTTCCTTAGTCACGCTATCATCAGCAGGGAAGCGACGCCATTCCAGGGGCCAACATATCTACCGCCAAAGGAATATTTGAAGTGCATTTCGGGCCAGCAGTGCGTCCGTCAGAGGCAGTGCTTGAACGGATTTTTTTCTCAACAGGTACCCAGGATACATGTAAGTGGGTGCATGGTAGACTTTTACAAGAATAATAACTTTTTAATATCGCAAAAAACAAGGACCTAATCTTAAATTCCTTTAACAGCGATATGGTCCTTGATTTTTTTTTTCTGAACATGTCTTAATGTTTTACATGTTGTATATTTACGGTTCTTTTTCGGCTTATCATTACCGAGGTCCGTAACACCAGTCCTAGTTAATGCTGCTCAGACAGCGTTGGGAAGTTTCGTTATTGCACAAGTAATTTGAATGCCCAAGTTTACTTTGAGAACAAAAATATTATGTATCGTATATGCAATCAATATTTTTTTCTGCTTCACCTATTCGCCGTGAACCAGAAATTTGCATACCAGCACAAAACCGCTTCTCGAGAAATTTTTAAAATGCCAAAGAAAGACTTTTTAATTGGAAAGGAATTCATTTCCTTAATTCCAAATCAGGAATATAAAGACAATTATGAGCGCGTTTAAGCGTTTAAGCTTTTTATGTTTTCCGCATTTTGTGGGCGTTCGAGTTGGCCGGGCCAGGTGTTGAAAAAAATTAATTATTGGTGGCATCAGTAGAAACTACATGATTAATCCCAACATTTTTTAACTTATAGTAACTGAGATCTCACCGTATCTACTAAAAGGGGAACCGTTTTTCGAGCGTATGACGTATGAGTGGGCGGGGTGGATAATGATTTCACATTAAGATGCGCTGGCATCTCAAGACATACTTAATCCCAACTTCCTAGCTCTAATAGCTTCTAAGAAATGAGTGATGAAGTATATATGTATATTTTTGATCAGGATCAATAACCAAGTCGAGTAGTCCATGTCCATCTTTCTGTCTAATCGTATGTGTGAAATCTTAGGAATTATAAAAGATACAAAGTCGGGATTAAGCTTTCAGATTCTTGAGTTGCCTACACTGTGTAAGTTTGTTTCAGTCCAGTGTCTTGACTATAAAATACCGGAGAGTATGCTTACTAATTAAAAATTTTAATTTGAATTTTTGTGTCGGTCATGACACATGTGCTGCCTAGGATCTGCATGCTTAATCCCAATATTTTATTTCTGAGATCCTTGCATTCATACAGACAGACGATCTGACATATGTGCTATTGATCCTGATTAAGAAAATATATCCTTTATAGGGTTGGAAAAGAGTGAATACAGATTTGGTAGGGTAGTAATTAATTAGTTAACTTAAAAAAATTCCCAAAAGTCACCGACCAACCTTCATATTAAAAAACATTTCAAACTTTTTAAAACCGCTTGAAGTGGAGTTCCGTTATTGTTTGTTAGTTGTAATGTTGTTTTTAACTTCATGACGGATCTTCCCTGCTACTTATAATTCTAGTAAAAATCTCTTGATACAAATGTCGAGGTGATCCCGCGTTAAGCTACTAATATTGCATCTTAAGTCTGGCCATAGACTGACAAAGCTATTATTTTTTTAATTTTTAATTTTCTAAATGTGAAAAAAATTGAGCAATATCATTAAAGGCCCGCTAGAACGGGCAACAAAATTAAATGCAAAAGTTTTGATGATTCAGCCAATGGAAAAAACCTCTAGTAACTACCTAGACACATTTTAGCGCATAATAAAAGCAAACTTTGGTGGACTTTTGGCCAAGATAACTGTATTCTCAATCTGCTGTAATATGATGATATTCAAGAACAGCATACCAAACCGATGTAATGAATCACTACATATTTATACACGTTACTCGTATAGTAAAAGGGTATATTAGATTCGTTGAAAAATATGCAAGTTGTACAAGAAAGCGCGTCCGACCCTATAAAGTATATATATCCGTCTGTCCGTCCGCCTTGCCGTATGAACGCTAAGATCTCAGAAACTATAAGAAATACAAAGTTAAGATTAATCAGTCAGATTCTTGAGGTCCCTACGCAGAGCACGTTTATTTCAACATCTTGCCCACTCTAACGCTCACAAGTAACGAAAAACTAAAATCGCTGAAATCTTTGAAGCTATTAGAGCTAGAAAGTTGGGATGAAGAATGTATAATCTTGAGATCAGCGCATCTTAATGTGGCACTATTCGCCCCGCCCACTTATCCGCCTGTTAAGCACGAAAGTCGGTTTTTCCTTTTAATAGAAACGCTGAAATCTATAAGTTATAGAATGTTGGGATTAACCATGTTTCTAATGATGCCCCCAATGCGTATTATTTTTTCACCATCTGGCCACGCCAACTCGAACACCCACAAATGGAAAGCCGTAACTGTAAGAGCTAGGGAGTTCGGATTAGACAAACGTATTTTTAAGATGACACCGCGGCCCTAAATGATATTTTCATGCAGCCACGCATACTATAACGCTAACAAGTCGCGGAAAACTGTGGCCTTAATATTAAAATTAATGTCTTTCATATCTATCGATATACGAAAGATTTTACTTTTATTTAATATTCATCATCTTATATTAATTTAGATCAAATTCAAATTTGTTATTATTATTTAAATACTCAATTCGTGATTTCGTCAAAAATCTCTTTGTGAGTGCTTAAAGTTACAGAACCCGTTTATTTTTTAATTGTTATTTTCCTATTCTCAGAACTGCGACCCGGAAACCGATATCTGCTGTACCTTCCAGGCTTCTTATACCATATCCATGCCATTCGGCTCATGTCCGCGGGATTCAGGATGCGTGGCTCCGCAAAATTGCAACAACGGCGAAATAAGTGCAATAAACTCTGTAAAGAAGCAAGAAGTAAGTACTTGACCTTCGACAGTCATATAATTCTTGTCCAAGAATATAGTTAAATAACACGGGTACATTGGTAAACAGGGTTTCGACTTAAAATCAGCTTGTCTAGAATTCAGCTTGTCTAGAATCAAATATTTTTTGAATGGCATACACACAATCAGTCATGAATAGACTTAAAAAAGACCTAGTGTTAAAAAAAACACGTGCATATGAACATTTGCAATGAAGATAGGCCTAAGTAAATATAGAAACTTTCATGTACACACAATTCAGGAATGAACCGGCTATACTACTTCTAACACATAAAAGGTTAATAAAATATTTTCAAAAGGAATTTTTCGATCAACCAAATACTTTACAGGTCAAAAACTTTCCACATTATACGCTTATAAAATATATTCAAAAAGAGGAGTACGAAAAAGAATATTAATTTAAATCGAGTGCTTTCTACGCGCGCTGCTTTCTGAATTTTGCATATTTCACCTGTCACAAATAATTTAAGGCTTGTGTTGCCGAAGTAGTAAGATGATTGGTGTAAAATTGCTATTGAACATGGTTTGTTCTTGCTTC